TCAATTTGAAAGAAATCTCAAGCGGGAGCCGTTGTTCTTGTAATCCGGGGGGCCAGGGGTGCAGTTTGAGCATCAAGACTTCCCCTGCCAAAAAACAGGGTGCGAGCGTCGAGGGGCACACTTTGATTGAGAAAACACAGTCTGCACCGGTGAGGGGGATCAACAATAATTCTTCTTCAGGAATGAAAGTTCAACCACAACAACAGCTACAACAACAGCCACAACAACAGCCACAACAACAGCCACAACAACAACAACAACAACAACAATTACTAGCACGTGGGGACACTCCGTTCTCACCAGTGCCAGGGTTTTCATAGGAGGCGGGCAATACCCCCACTTTGTGGGGGGGCCGGTTCAAGCTCTACCAAATTTCCAAACGACTCTTCGCCACCACCCACACCCAGCTTCCCGCCCTATGACGTTCGGACACTTCACTTCGTGGCATGCGGACGACCGTGGCTACTATTCAGGGCCCCGCGGCCGACGACGACGGCGTGCGCGCGCGAAGAAAAAACGAATGTGTCCCGCATGGTATTATTTGACAGGGATGATGGCCCTGGCAGGTGCGCAACCGTTGTCGCAGAAGTTCGAAAAAGTTGCTCGCAAAAGCCCGTTTGACAGAAATGTTTAAAAAGTGTTGGGTTTCCTACGAATCCGCAAGAGCGCGCGGGATGAGATTTTGACATTTTTTTGTTGAAAAACCATTGGTTTTTTGATGTTTTTATGTTAAAATCGCTCCGAACACTAAGCTTTTGGAAGGATTTCGTCTTGCGCGCGCGAATGTCCACTTTACCTTATTTTTTGCAAGGGATTCTTGAAATTTGATTATATTAGAACAAGAAATGTCATTTTATAGTGTTTTTTGCAAGGGAAAGCGGATTACAACAAAACAACCGGATCTTGATCACATCGTTTACCTGAGGCTTCCTCACGAAAATGATGAAAATGTAGCTGCGGCCTAGGCGGCGCAGGGGGGGCGCGCACCAGGGGGCCCAACAATAATTATTCTTTAGAATTAATAATGTTCAACAACAACAACAACAACAACAACAACAACAACAACAACAATCATTTTACCCGAACGCGTGGTGTTCTCCCCAGTGCCAGGGTTTTCATACGACACCAGGCAATACCCCCACTTCGTGGGGGGGCATTACAAGCTCTACCAAATATCCAAACGACTCTTCGCGACCACCCAAACCCAGCTTCCCGCCCTATGACGTTGGGACACTTCACTTCGTGGCGTGCGGACGACCGTGGCTACTACACTGGCGTGGGGTACACACCCACAGAACCCAATGGTTTTTGGAGATTTCGGCGTGCGCGCGCGAAGAAAAAACGAATGTGTCCCGCATGGTATTATTTGACAGGGATGATGGCCCTGGCAGGTGCGCAACCGTTGTCGCAGAAGTTCGAAAAAGTTGCTCGCAAAAGCCCGTTTGACAGAAATGTTTAAAAAGTGTTGGGTTTCCTACGAATCCGCAAGAGCGCGCGGGATGAGATTTTGACATTTTTTTGTTGAAAAACCATTGGTTTTTTGATGTTTTTATGTTAAAATCGCTCCGAACACTAAGCTTTTGGAAGGATTTCGTCTTGCGCGCGCGAATGTCCACTTTACCTTATTTTTTGCAAGGGATTCTTGAAATTTGATTATATTAGAACAAGAAATGTCATTTTATAGTGTTTTTTGCAAGGGAAAGCGGGGGGGAACAAAACAACCGGATCTTGATCACATCGAATTACCTGAGGCTTCCTCACGAAAATGATGAAAATGTAGCTGCGGCCTAGGCGCGGCGGGGGGGGCGTGCACCAGGGGGCCCAACAATAATTATTCTTTAGAATTAATAATGTTCAACAACAACAACAACAACAATAACAACAACAATAATTTTAATACTGTTCGCCCGTATATGCTCGAGTGTCCAATAATGCGTATTTCCCAAACCCTCGGTACCCGCCCTCTTCGTTTTCGATCGAACCACTTTTGGGGGGTATACCTTTCTTCCCTGCAGGCCGGGCCCTGGCAAGCGGCGGGGCGGCCGCGGACCGTCGGCCTGGCCAGCGGCAGCGCTGATCGGCGGGGCGGCCGCGGACCGTCGACCCGACCCCAACAGGGACGGAGAGGGGACCGACCGACCACGACGACGACGACGACGACGACGACGTCGAAGACGACGGCGAAGACGACGACGACGACGGCGACGACGAGCGAAAGCGAGAGCGAGAGATAACGGCAGCAGGGCCACGAAGTGCACGAAGTAGGCCACGAAGGGCGACAGCGGGGACACGAAGGGAATGCGTATGGGGCCACGAAGAGCGCGAACGAGCGGGGGCCACGAAGTGCAGATAATGTGGGGCCACAGAAGGCAACTATTGGGCCACTCAAGGTAGGAACTGGACCACGTAGGACAATGAGGGGGGCACAAATGGCGACAGCGGGGCCGCGAAGGGCATGCACATGGGGCCACAACGTGCGCGACTCCTGGGTGCCTGGGTG